ATATATAGTGTGCATGTGTAGAATGTGAATGACATGCATTTCTGCAGAAATAAAAATATGTAGTGCTTTCTATATGCTTTTGTTGTGTGCAGATCTTATTTTATTTATATAGCCTCAATCCAAAGCTATACAGGTGAATAATAAACAATAATAATTAAGATTTCTATTGCTATGGATTTAGCATTTCTATAGTTAAAACTCAATTAGCTTCATCAATAAATCTATGAAAAGTTTTCAGTTTTTTTGGGGTTGAAATTTAGTATGGTGTATATTGTCTTGCAGGTTGCCTGCATGCAGTTCATAAATATTGTGGTTCATTCAGTGGAAGACATGAATTTCAGAGTGCACTTACAGTACGACTTCACCAAGCTGGGTTTGGACGAATATCTGGATGTGAGTAAACTTCAGAGCTGAGTCTTCTGATAACTGCTGAGTGAGCTGCAGGAGGATCCATCACTCTTCTCTCTGTCTCTATGTCACTGTCTTTGAGTAGAAACTGAAGCACACCGAGAGTGATAAGCTGCATGTGCAGATTCAAGCATACCTGGATAACGTGTTTGATGTCGGGGCTCTGTTAGAGGACGCAGAGACCAAGAACGCAGCGCTGGAGAGAGTGGAGGAACTAGAGGAGAACATGTCTCATGTTAGTACTGTTTTTACATCATTTTACTCATTATAAATAAATAATGATGTTATCCAGAAAAAACAATCAGTTAAGTGGCATATTCAGGAGTGCTTATCATTTAAAGGTCCCATATTGTCAAAACTGAAATTTCCTGGCTTTTTTCACGATAACAGAGGTCTAGGGACTATTTAACTACCATATAAGTTTCTCTAGTTTAACAATGCACCACCTGCCCAACAGCATGACCTTTACATGACCAGTATTGAGTTCAGCTGAAAGCCTTTAATGATAATGAAACCTTATAGGTCCCCATCATACATGTAGCTTGACCTTTGACATTTTGTGACAGTTGGGCCATCTGGCCAAAGGATGACTTCCTGACCTGAGGTAATTTCCACATTAGTGTGCCATTGATTTTTATAGTGTTCTGCATAGTCAAGAATTCAGATGAATCAGGATTCAAGAATATTAAAGTGACAATTAATGCGAATCTGAAGTTAAATATGTGTGCAACCCTGGCTGGAATCATTTGAGATTTTAGTGTTCATGTCTCAGCAGTTTAGAAAGCATGACTTATTTGTGATTGTGTCTTCATGACTCTTATGTTGTGTAGCTGGAGTCTCATTTCTTGTGGACTCTTGTTTGTGGTTTTCTAGCTGACAGAGAAATTACAGGACACAGAGAATGAGGCGATGGCAAAAATCGTTGAGCTGGAGAAGCAACTCATGCAAAAAAATAAAGAGCTGGAGTCTGTTCGGGTAAATGATGCATCCTTACATCACTTCCTCTTGAGTTCTTCAGTTGACTGTATGGTATGGGTACTTCAAGTGTATGTTGTTACTCAATGCTGAAAAGTTCATTTCACAATATCCATAGAATCTTCCCTTTAAAGTCAACACAAAATCCTAATGTACTTTTGTACCAGTGTTTACTGTACTTTCTCAAAACACATTCCTCAATGCTCATTGGTGTACATTATTCCAAAGAAACAAATGTTTGCCTTCATAGTATTTGATGAAAATGTCAAAACTGTCTCTGAAACAATCTTTTCCACTGATGTCACCTGAGCCTAATTAGCTATTATTGTGAATCAATTAGTGCTGTCAAACGATTAATCGCGATTAATCGCATCCAAAATACAGGTTTTTGTTTACGTAATCTATGTGTGTGTGCTATGTATATTTATTATGTATAAATATAAATACACACACATGCATGTATATGTTTAAGAAAAATATGTTATGTTTATATATTAACTAGATTTATATATAATATAAATTATATTAATATAAATATATACACGTAAATATATACTGTATGTGTGTGTATTTATATATAAATAATAAATATACACAGTACACACACATGTATTATGTAAACAAAAACTTTTATTTTGGATGCGATTAATCACGATTAATTGTTTGACAGCACTAGAATCAATCTTTGTATCATTTTTGTAACCAATTAGACATAAAATGTTTGGTAACACTTTACAATAAAGTTCATCAGTTAATGTTAATTAATGCATTAACTAACATTAACAATGAGCAATGCATTTGTTAAAGTATTTATTAATATTTGTTAACGTTAAATTAATAAAAACTAAAACTGTTCATTGTTAGTTCATGACCATTAACTAAGATTAAAATATATAACTTTGTATTTTAATAATGCATTAGTAAATGTTGCAATTATTATTAACTGAGATTAATAAATGCTTTACAAATATGTTTCATTGTTAGTTCATGTTAACTAATGTAGTTAACTAATTTAATCAAATGCAAACCTATTTTTAAAGTGTTGCCAAATAGTTTTACCCCCTGAGATTTTACGTCAATTTGTCAATAATTTAACGATACATTCACATATTCATGGCTCTCTGATGTGGGTTAGTAGTCACATGTTATGCATTTTTACAAAATTTATATACTCACTTAAATCGCAGCCTATGATAATCACAAAAAGCCATATTGAATTTTCAGTTTTATTTCTATTAATTAATTAGCCATCCGTCAACTCACAATCAGTTCCCTCACGAATCACCCAATCTGGGAAACCCTGTTTTAACTCAAAACTCGTGCTCCCTGTGGTGACAGGAGGTGTATAAAGACGCCAGCTCTCAGGTGCACACCCTGCGGCGGATGGTGAAAGAGAAGGACGAGACCATTCAGAAGCAGTGCAACCTGGAGAAGAAGATCCACGAGCTGGAGAAACAGGGAACCATCAAGATCCAGAAGAAAGCGGACGGGGACATTGCCATCCTGACGCCCCCTCCACAGGGGAACGGGCATCTGCCAGGGTCACAGGGCATAGCTGGGGTGTCCGGTGAGGGCATGGTCAGTCACGTAGGTGTGGCTAACGGGGCGGCACAAGGCATGAGCATGCCTGATCCTCCCCCTCCCCCTCATCCTATGCCGGTGACACGTAAGTCACCACTCCTGATTCTAAATACTGGAGAGTATTACGAGTTTGACGTTAGTAAGGAAATTAATGTAATAAATTCTTATTTATGCTATTTGGAAGCAGATTTTCTTCTGATTATTATTACTTAGTATCACTATGTTTGGAGCTTTTAACAGGGGGAAAAATGCTACCAAAATTAACAAATCTGCCCCCTAAAACTAAGATGGGGGGCAGAAAATGCAGCTGCACAATTTAACTAAATCATATTTAAAGTCAAATATTGCCAGAAATTAAGCGTCCCCAGCTAAGCAAGCCAAAGGTGACAGTGACAAGGAACCAAAACTCCATCGGTGACAGAAATGGAGAAAAAAACCTTGGGAGAAACCAGGCTCAGTCTCACACTGGCCAGACGAAACCAGCATAGTGTAGTTTAATTCCAGGCTGCAGCACAGGTCAGATTGTGCAGAGGACTCGTCTGGTTCCCGATGGCCGTCTAGTTGGCGAGGTCTTCAAAGTATCGCACACAGACCAGAAGCGTTGCGTTCAGTTCAAGACGTCAGTTCAAAATTGTTAATCCAATCACCAAACAGGCACAAGTTAACTTCAAGAATGAACAAAGTGGTGAGTTTGAAGTGTTTGACAAAACAGAGCAAATGGAAAGAGAAAGCATGATTCATATTATAGCACTTTATATGAAGCATACACATTTTATTCAAGCCACAGATAAACGTTTTGCTGAAAAATGCACAATAAAAGATCTTCCAGCCTAGGAATGAAGTCATTGTGTACATTACCAATAATTTGGGACAAATATAATGTGATTTAATGTAGATACAATTTGCAATTCCTTTTGAATATTAAATATTGGAATATCATTCCATAAAGTAAGATTTGAAGCATGCCAATGCAATTCCATTGATGCCAACATAATTTTGTAGTCTACTCAAAAGAATATTGTGGTCGATAGTGTCAAACGCAGCGCTAAGATCCAGTAGCACTAATAGAGAAATTAAATTAAAAATAAATCTTATGTGAAACTGAATGAAAAGCGTCTATTGTGACTACTGCTCACGTTGCATGAGTTCCTATTTTTTACTTTACCATTTTTATAGGCCTTCTTTAAAATAGCTGAGATAAATTAATCTCATAAAATTATACAATTATTGAATGCCACATTTGAGCAGCCTTAAACAGTGTCTAAATAAACATGCCATGTCAGATGCAATTTCTGTCCCGGCTTTGCAGAGTAAAGATAATTTTTGCTGACATTAAAATTGTATTGATGATAAGACTGATTGAATTAGATGAATCAATGCAAGAATTTGACATAAAAGGCAACACAGATACATTTTAACAAGGAAATTGCATCATATAATAATTGCTGATATGAAGGCATTAAATCAGAGGACCTCAGATGATGCCAACCCTGAAACAACATACAGAACTACCACATTTTGCTATAAGTTTGATTGCATCATATAATAATTGCTGTTAATAGTGTTCATCGTCTGTTTGATTACGTCTTTAATTGATTTTTCCGTACATTTCTGCCATATGTACATTAACTGACAGTCACCACTGATAAACTACTACTAAATATTGTAGAAACTTAATTTGCTGTAAAGTTGCTTTGCAACGCTTTGTATCGTGAAAAGCGCTATACAAATAAACTTGAATTTAAATTCTTAAAATTGCCCTCATAAAGGTTTAAAAAATGCCTCTAGAAGTCAGTCCCAGGGGGCAAATATTAAAAATACATTTCTGACCCTGACAGCCAGTCAGACTTTTGACTCTCGGCACAAGCCCTGGTCTTTATTGATCAGAATCAGAATTAGAGGACTTTGTTGTGGTTTGCACACACATTTCCTTAATAATTGCAGCTTATTCTGGTCAAGAACCGCCCATTTAGACAGGAAGAGAACATCTAATGTAGCCAGTATATAAAGTGAAGTATATGATGTTCAGGGGTGGGGAATCTGAAATTAGTTGTAACTCTAAAAGGATAGTGTAATATACATGTGCGATCACGAATATTTTAGTTAGGTGAATCCCACAAAGCCTTTCACGAAGTCAGTTTTTCAAAATAAATCAAATAAATGGCTGAAAGACAGCGGAGACCAGGACAACTAGATGAGCCCCAGATACAGATCCCCTGTAAAGACCTTGTCTCAGACGACCACCGGGACAAGACCACAGGAACCAGATGAGTCCTCTGCACAATGTGACTTTGCTGCAGCCTGAAATTGAACTGCTGGTTTCGTCTGGCCAGAGGAGAACTGGCCCCCCAACTGAGCCTGGTTTCTCCCAAGGTTTTTTCTCCATTCCGT